CTATACACACGGAATCGGGGTACCCCCTCCGTTAGTCGGTCGTCCGGGTGCCAGTGGAGAGTTGGGATCGCATCAGCAATTTTGCGAATCCCACTCCACCACACGTATGCCGCTTTCACCGCAGGTTCCGCCTCTGACTCGATTCTGAGCAGAGTTAGGTAAGCCGATGGTAAGCGCATTTTAGGATTGCAGCCATTTTGAAAATGGATTTGTCCTGGTCTGGATCCCGATATGAACAACGTCGCCGCCAAATGGTCTGTAGAGTTGTAATCGCTCCAAGTTTCCAAAAGGCCTGGATCGCATCAAATAGCTCCACTAGCACACACTCTTTGTGACCAAGTGGTAACGCTGCAAACATCGCGTCTCCTCTTTTCCATACCGCCACAGGTGTCGCAACTTCCATCAATCCAAGTATCTTTTCCGGGCCAGGCAATGTCTCGCAAAACCCCAGTGCTTGCCATCGCTCTGTAAATACACGTTAAAGTCTGCGTGCTCCAGAGCAGGCCCAAAATGTGTGGTTCGGAGTCCCTGTCGTATCGTCACATTCCTCAATTGGACAGCCCAAAGATTGTGTGGTGGCATTCCAAGCACTAAAGGCTCTGAGTTTTAGCCTGTACAAGACTTGTTGTCCCCATTCTGTCACACCAGTAATACGGCCAGTGTCAACCCACTTCATTTGTTTTAATGCGTTGCTGACGTCCATGTTATCCTGGTCCCATTTGTGCTGTTTGTTCTCTAGATCCGCAAGTGCCTTGCGTCTCTCGCGAGCTTGAGCCCTCACTTTGTATTGCGACCGATTGTAGCCGACACGTTTACCCCCGTGCCACACACATACGTATCTAGACAGCAACGGGTGGGGAAAGATTGCGTTTACTTGATCATCGTCTGTGGCGAAAGACAATAAAGAGATCCCCTCGCTCATGAAACGAGCAACCCCGACATCCAAGTCGGCCCCATCGGGACCGACAATGCTAATACGAACTGTGTTTTGCTGTTCTCCTTGAGTATCCAGCACACTTGGATCGGTCGCTCATGCGCACCGGATAGCAGGCGCAGCTCACTCTGATATGAGATATTTGGGAGGTCCGGATAAAATGCGAGCAGAAGTAGGATAAAAATGCGCTCCATATCATTCTTCAACGCCAAACTTCTGCGAAAAGTAATGGTCCCAGCCCCAGTGCTTTCCCATGTGACATAATCACAAATGCAACGAGAAAAATCTAATTGTTTGACTGTTTCTCGTACACCAGCATCATCCCAAGTCCGTACCTTTGGAAAGGCGCATCCAATGCTGAGATAAGGAATCCATTCTGGGCATAATCGTCCGGTCTCACAGCGCATTGATCGCCGTATACCGTCAACGACACCCTCTGTATACCTGGGAATCTCCACTGAGCAGGTATCATCAGTCCAGTCCAACATGTTAGCCAGGTGAGTTTGATAATGTCTGTATAGTCGTAATCTCATGCCCTCGACTGCAGGCTGATGGTCGTGAAGCCCAATATGTTCCAATAGAGAAAAACCGGCCTTCCAAATGTTCGCATGAGGTCTGAAAACAGCTGGGAGGCGTCCTGTGAATCCCAATGAGAGATAAGTTGCTTTAATAGAGGCATCTTTATAGCCAGCGTGAAGGACATCTGTTGTAACTTGGTACCAGCCAGCGCCCACTCTTACACTGTAGTGGCAGCAAGTGCAATCAGTTCACTCCGGAGATCTGGTACTCCAAGTCCCCCACCTTTCATAGGCATCATTGCTAGTTCCTTTGCCATCCATGGATTATGTATCGGAGCATCTTCCACAAATAAACCGGTCCAGACAAAGTTTCGAATGAGACGGTCATAGCGCTTCACTATTCCTGTAGTAGGCCAGCAATGGCGAGCAATATACAGGAGCTTGGGTATTATGACTGCAGCTGCGACTTTTGCTCTCTGCCGAACTGAAATTGTTTTGTGGCTCGCCAATCTGATGCGAATGACGAGTTGGTGCTCTGCCGAAGCCCAGGCTGCCTCCACGTCATGTTTGCAACTCGCTGGAATGCCAAGATAGCGAGTGGTATCTGTAGTGTTCTGTAGCGTAATATGGCTTGCCCATGTGATGGCGTCGCTGAACCCGTCCGGATGCAATGGTCTGGCTACGGTTTTGCTTTCATTTAGAAGAAGACCTGAGCCTGCTCCGAAGTCTTAAATAACGTCTAAAACTTTGTTTAGATCCGCCGGATGGCGCAAATAGACTGTGGTATCGTCAGCATACCCTGCCATTCGAAGCGCTGTTGATGCTGCGTCAGTAACCACTGAAATTCCAGAGTGAACCTCACCCCCATCCAGCTTTGAATATAGCGGTTCCAGTGCGAGAATGAATAAGCAAGGTGCCAACGGACATCCTTGCCGGATACCCCTTGTAACTCGTATTCGGGATGAGAGGGTACCATTAACTAAGAAGCGCACACTGGTGTTTGTGTGTAGAACTTGTATAACTTGGATCAAACGTGGTGGAAAACCGTGACGCATAAGTGCTTTTATCATGAAGTCTCGGTCTAGGCTGTCATAAGCCTTAGCAAAATCCAACAACAAGGCCAGCGCGTTACGCGCGTCCGGCCTGCATTTCGCCATCTGTCGTGCCACAGCATAGCAGTCCATAGTTGTGTGAATTGTGCGTCCCGGGACGAACCCACATTGGAGCTGATTAATTCGCTCGTTTAACACTTGTCGTACAGCCGTTGTGACTATTCGCATGATAACTTTATAATCCGAATTGAGGAGAGTGAGTGGTCGGTAGTTGAGAGGATTTCCCGAATCTCCGGACTTCTTTAAGCAAAAAATATTGGCCTCAGTGAACGATGCCGGAAATAGTTGTTGCTCATACCACTGGTGATATAGTGTAGTGAGGATCGGTGTCAGCTCCTCGATATAATCTCGATAAAATTCGTTGCCCAGATGATCCGGACCACAAGCTTTTCCCGGTTTGCAGGCGCGAATTGCCTTGGCTACTGTGTCCTCCGTTATCAGCATAGTGGTATCAAACAACTCTGTAGGCATTTGCCTCGCCTGAGGCATCCACTCAATTATGTCGTCCATATGGGTCTTCCCCAGCGGGACCTAAGTCATAACTGGTTTCCAAGCTGCAGCCATTGCATTCGCTTTTTCTGTGCTGTAGCAACAGCCCTCCCATCGTTGCCCCGTAGTGTTGGAATATCATTGTCGGCAAATTTTGTCGATATTCGCCTGAAAAATTCTCTCGTGGTTTGCCCAGGACGCCACGCATGCGACTGATAAAGTCGAGATGTTTTATACCGAATACGTTTCCGTTTCAGATTCGCAATTTTGCGCGTAATGTCGTTGCATTTAGTCGTTATGCGTTCGCCGGCGGAAAAAGTCCGATTGTCCTCGCCGGGCTGATTCCTTTGCTTTTGAAGTTAATGTAACTTGTGATACCATCTTCGGAGCTTGCGACGATACGTGTTCGTTCTAGCGTGGCGAATGGTGCGTTTTACCCTGGCTATGCCACCCACAATTTCCATTTTCAGACGATCCCATCGTTCCGACATATCTGCCCCTTTCATTAAGTTTAACTCCATCTCAGCGGCAAACAATGTCAATTTACCAACGATATATTCGCGAGTTTGCGTACGCGCATACGATGGAACCGGGTACACTTGGAGCGGCTTGTGTACTATAATTGGGTACTTCGGGTCTCGTAATCCAAGCAATACTCCTTTGTGGTCGGACTCTAGGCCGTCAAGCGGCACCGAAGTGGAAACTACCCACATTCGTAAAGCATCCGAATGATACCACCTGTCAATTCTGCTAGACGCGGTTTCCTTGCCTGGTAGTGTGTAGGTGTAGCTATGCTGTGTATGCTGGAATGCCGTTAGTCCGTCATCGTCGCCAGGGTGTGGAAGTGTGAGTTGCAGTGAATCAGTCAAATTGAGCTGTTGCAACCACTTGGCAAGTCCTGGTGAAGAATGGCTCGAGGCTGCTGTGTTGTTGGAGCGATCCGCCAATGTATGCTGGGTGCAATTATAATCACCACCGACTAAGAGGTAATCAGTAGCCACAAATGGAACCTTCCGGAGCAACGTGTAGAAGGCCTCCCTATCTCTACGCGCTGTCGGTGCATATATGTTGACAAGAACCACCTTTATATTCGCTGCTTTCACCGTTATCATCATCAAATTAGGCGTCCACCATTGTTGTAAGTAAGTTTCTGGGTCTGTGAACTTGCCATGAGGGTGCAACAAAATTGCCACTTCAGCAGAATTATTCGCAATTTCTGACCAATACGATAGAGTAGGCGCCCCATTATCGATCCTATAACCCCATTGGTGAGCCACTTTAGCCGCAAATATGTGGCTGGTGGTTTTGGTCACATGAGTTTCCTGCAACATAATAACATCGTAATGTCCATTAAAGCGGTCCCTCTTAAAAGACGCAAGCCAAAGGTCCGTATCTGTATCTCCAGAGCCGAATCCGCAGACATTTTGTGTCAGTAAACCAATAGTTTGCTCCTAAATTTCTTTCGCCCGTATTAAATCACGGAACCATGCGCATCTTTGTGACTGAGGCTCGCCTCCGTGCTACGACCGTTCGTCGTTGTCTGCCAAATTCTCGGTTTAACGCATTTTCCCTCACATAGGCTTGCTGCGAAGGGTAAAACGCCTCCATTGTGGTTTGCGTATTACCACGAGGAGACGATTGTGGCCTGTAGGCCTGTGTTACTGGTGTGGGGCGGCCTGCTCCTCCCCACCGACTTTCTCCGTGGAAGAGGGTGCAAGCACACGTGCCACTCCCAATTGTAGATGTACTGCAAGACTCCAATCTTGATTTTTAGCAATAGCCAGCCCAGGCATAGTTGTTGTACTTGCTCAAATTCACGGTACCACACAGCGAGAGCGCGCGCGGGCGCGCGACCCATGACGGGGTCGCACCACTCTCGGATAGTGTAAGGTAAAACGTGTAAAGTGAACCAGTGGTTCATAGGTATCTCCAACGGTCTAGACCGCATCATAGAATCATCTCATATGTGTTCAGCTTGTCCCATCTTTGGTTGTCTCTAGCCAACACTACCGCCTCCGTGTAGTCAGCAGTACGACAAATCGTCGCCCATTCGGCACTCATGGCACGAGCTCTGTCGTCATTTTCCTCATCTTCTTGTATACGATCTAGCATCTGAAGCTGCTGAGCAAAAGCTTCCCGTTCGCCCCATTCCTCAAGTTGCTGTTGATTGCAGGCTTGTGCTGCCAGCTCTGGAAAAGGGAGGAGAGCCATTATTTGGCGCATTGCGGCTGGATTGCTACAGAGCCAATCCGTAGCGTGTGCCCATGATGATCGCCGCCCTCATCCAGTGCAGGTAGCCCATGTTTAATGCCTTCCGTCTGTGCCCATTCCGCAAATACGTCCTCATTTACCGAGTGAAGGCGACCCGCAACGCGGGCGTCAATAGCGCCCATTTGAGACACATCATCATACCTTAAGATGCGCGCATATACTTCTGAATGGACATGCGCTGATGCAGGGGGGATTTTCTACTTATCGAATCCAATTGTGTAGGCTGTGACAACCCACCATCTTGGGACCCATTTGCATACAGATCAACGCCTAAATCTTCCAGCACAAATTGTTCTTCTAGCGTTACCTCAGCTCGAACTGAGTCTAGATCATACCCAACCGACGAAAGTTTGGGGAAGCCAGTCGCCTCGTGCACGCTGTCGAGTCTGCTACGCATATCAGGACCAGGTTGCGCATGCCATTCAAAAAAAAGGTTTCCGTGTTGAACACCATAGAAATGGCTTTCCACATGCTTTAAGAGCAGCATCACTGGAAAAACGTGGTTATGGAAGCATGCTTCAAGAAATATCTTCATTACATGATCCGAAACCATCTCGACTTGCCCGGTTTCGTGAGCCTCTCCGTTATCCATAATTAAAGTTGCAAATGTGTAGCGCTGGACATGAGCTGTGTCGTTTGCTGACACATCCCAGACATAAACCAGTTCTCGTAAGTAGACCGCCACCGCTCTTAGTATATGCGGCCCTTCCCAAAATTCCATAGGTACATCACGCATTACTGAAACATCTCGAATGAGAAGATAGTGCGTTAACAGAGCTGCAGTTGCGGCTTGCGTCGTAGCTGGAACAGGTTTACCTGGATAAAGTCGGCGTAAACCCTGTTTGGAGTCCACCAAACCCAACATTACGTCTCTTCGCAAATTGGTCAGTAAGATATAAATAACATCGTGTTTGACTGTGATCGCAGAAATTAAGTTATCTCCAACAACACTGAAGAAGCGGGATTGTACATTTCCAAGCGATGCAGATAAAGCCAGGAAAAGACACTGCCCATTTGCCGGTACTGATACTGGCGTCCCTTTTAAGCAACCAATCCACTGCTGATATGACACCGCATCCGTTAGTGGAGGCACCACCTTCTCAATAATGACGTACCAATTTCCAGTATTAGGTTGGAGAGCATCGTTTCGAGACGACTCCATTACCATCTCCACATCCCCGTCGTGGTGAGTTTCACTAATTAATTCCTGAGTAGTTGCTGTGTCGACTAATAATTTGTCCGTATTTGCTCCAATACATTGGGAGTCCGCAGATATTTGATTGTCATATGTGGCCTCGTGGTTTATCCCGATATCCTGATGATAATTGTCTGCAATGTCATGTTGAACCACATGCCCGTCACTATTGCCTAAAGCCACAGCTGAGGCAGATGAGAGAGCACTGCCACCATCCATTACATCGTCCTCTGGCGACAAATTTTGCTCCACTTTCCGTTCCCTGAGGCCCTCCTCCACTTCCGGTTCGCTGTCCTCACTGTCGAACCTGTCTGACTCCCCCATGAGCTCCTCATATACGGCCATCGTCTGTTTATAACGCGCCGCCGCCGTGGTTGCATGTTTTCAACTCGGTACGCGGTGTTTTTTCTTCTTTTCGTGTCTTGTCGTCGTCGTCGTCGTTCGCGCTCGTGGTGTTGGACCTGCCTCTCCTCGAGCCACCTCAGCTCCAATAGTACGTCCATGTGGCACCCGCGAATTGTCTTGTGCTGCTGAGAGTTGTTGATGCGATGTACCCGCCGTAACCATTCGATCTGGAGTCCTAGTATTACGTTCACGATCCCCTAAACGCCCGCCTTTGCAAGTTGAGCGAATCGCGCGTGTCACAGTCATGCCGGACACCGCCGGAGCGGTTTCTATAGCTTGCGCATTTGCGGCAGTAGCCGGTGGTACCACTTCCCTTAACACCGGCGCACGTGTGACGTCCTCACACCCTGCATTGGACTCCGGGAATGTAAGTGCCACCAAGTGAGTTTCCAGCTCCGACAGATTAATACAGTCTGGTAAAGCCGTCAGCGTTGGCGCCTCGTATTGTCCGATATATTCGCGTTGTCTGTACGATCTCACTTCCCCCAGCCTATTTTCTTTGACGGTGCATCTGCTTCGAGCGTGCGCTGAATTGTAACAGCGAGTGCACGGAGCTGTTTGCATCTTTTGAAAGTGATGTAGTAGCACCATTTTCGTGCCAAACGCAATGGAGGTGATTCCTGCTAGTCGAACAGGGCAACTTCTTGTGCTGAATACAATAATCCAGTAGTTATTGTCTAGCTGCTGAAGACCTGGCTCCCCAGGGTGGCGTACATCTGCTACTAGCCCGTCAGTTATGTCTGCAAACATCTGAATGAGCTGTAGCGCGTCCAATTATCCGGTTCCCATTACTCGAATAGCGTAATTACGAGCTATTAACGGCGGAGGGCAGATCCCCGCTCTTTCCACTCCCGCCATCAATAGGGTTATATCACAGCCCCGCAACTTAAAAATTTCATGTACCCAGCTGTCAGCAACTCTTTTGGACATGAAAGTAAATGTCAGAGTGTGCTCCCCATCGAATTTTACTCTTTGTGCAGCTTTGAGGAATGTCTTCATCCTGATCTTGGCGTCAGCTGTAGTCGCATTGCTTGCTGCCAGTTCCCGTAGTACCGACTGACGGGGTATGCCTTTTCCCAAGCGTACTCGAGCTGGCACGTCGGCGACGAGGGCTGCCTCTATGTGTGTCTGATGAAACGACAACAAGGCCGCTCTCTTGTAAGCTGTAGCTGTGCAACTGAGAAAGTTGGGAGGGGCAGGAAGTTCAAGTCGGCGCCCTAAATACGCTTCCATCACCGCTTTTTCGTCGTCCGTCATTGCTCTGATGGCAGAGTCAGCATGCAGCGGGTATTCACAGGTTGCAAGATGATACATACGGTACAGCTCCCGTGTCTGTTCCTCTAAAGCTCTGGCTTCAGCCGTAAATTCCTGCCGAAGTTTGGAGACTGCCGCAGAGGACCACACGTCAACATCTTGCTCTTCAGCAACATTCGGGGTAGGTGTAATGCTTGCATTGATATCATGAGCTTCAACAGCTTGTCTCTCTGTCCGCTGGGTTGGGTCAGGAGGGTCAGGAGGTCGAGACGGCCTGAGCGGCCGCACCATTGTTTGCCCACCACTCATGTAAGTGATGTTTAATGAGTATACTGTTTCTGTCGCTTGTTGTGTTTCACGCAAATAAAAGAGTGATATGTCCGTCGGAACGATGGGTGAACACCGTAAAAGAATACTGTCTGTCTGTTTGATCCTTTTCCGGCATTCGGATTGGCTACTTTTTTAATAATCGCTAATTTTGGATTGGCTGATTTTGCATATTAATGCGAGCAGGTCAGTTGTGCACGGGCTCAAGTTGCATCAAAAATATGTTTGACACACCGAAAGAAGACCAACAGATACGGATCGACGTATGATGTCATGCTATAAATCTGTCGGACATCTATATCTAAAAATGGATAGCATGACTAAAATCTATATCGTAAGATCATAACAATAAAATTCCGTTTGTCGTGTTATATAATGAAATGAAAATTTACGGAACGACGGGTACACGTCCACCTTCACACCCATAGTTTGATTTATATGACTGATTATACGAAATATAAAGGCATGCTTCGCTTACTGTGTTCGTAGAAACGACGGGTACATATTAACCTTCGAATCGACAGGTACACATTGACCAGCGTCGGCAGGTAGACCTTGTCTTTTGTAGCGGAGCTGCACAGCTCTTTAGCCAGAGGAAGACTTTCGGCTGGAAGCCTCTTAGTTCGAGAGAACTAAATAGAGTTAAGGCTAAAAGCCACTTAGTTCTAAGGAACTAAGTATTCGACGTTAAAGTTACCCTCTTCTAAGGAAGTAGGAGGGACTCTTAGTCAGCAAGCAATAAGCTTAAGGTTCAGAGAACCAACGCACAGAGTGCAAGAGCAAGCTAGAAGCTTAGGGTTCAGAGAACCAACGCACGAAGTGCACAAGAGAGCAAGTCAGAACGACTTGCGATCTTAAACTCAAAAGGAGAACTGATTTTATTTATGCTTTAAGATTTTATGAATAGTCCTACTTTAAGTACACTACACTAGATTAATTACTATAATAGTAATTATTATATGCAGACTTTGCTATTGAACGACGTATCGTCTAAACATCTGTGTATGATGTACTTAATACAGCGTTAGTGATTTATCGAATCTCAATCGGTAAGATACGGTATTACCGAATACCGTATCTTAACGCTCATACTTAATACCTCTCTAACGAGAAGTATAATAATGCATTATATGCAATACAAAGGAGAGTTTAAGCGTAAACTCTCGGAAAGACGTTACAACCGTCGTGTAACCCCGTTACACCCTCCCCCACCAGACTGACGTTCCCATAAAATGTCACTCGATATTTTTCCTCGTAGAGGTAGTGCTTTAGCGAACGTTTAAAACCTCACGGGTTGTTCACGGCACATAACATGACGCCTCCCGGCAGTGAGTCACAGACTCTTCGGGACCTCATTGAAGATGACCTTGGCGAAGCGGTTGATTACGAAAGTGACACCGTCTTTGTGGGACCTGATGGGTCCCCTTTAGCCACCCTCACGGGTGAAGATGACACTCGTCATGCACCGAATCCGTTCCCTGAACGTGGTGCAGCAGATGCGCTAACAGCGTTACGTGACCCGCCTGACGTATCATCAACGGTAACGGTTACCAATCCACTCGACGAGCAGCAACAGCGGTCCATCGACCAAGAGGAAGGCGCCAATCGCCGAACGAAGAACATGACGCGGCTGCAGGACCACCGACAGTACAGGTTCAAGCCACCTACGGTGGAAGAACGTCTAAAGGAAGCATCTGGGCATTCCCTTCCTGGTTGGACCATTGGGCCTGAGGCCATTTCACCTGAGGATGTTGCCACACGCACGGCACTTCGACAACGATATCTGGAGCCCCATATCACTACTCAAAGCCAATACTTGGCACGCCTTAATAGGCAAGTGCGCGGTGCGCCAGTTCCTCCGATGAAGGGTGTTCCCATCCTTCTGTTCGCGGGGGAAACCGAGGACGAAGAAGACACGGCTTTCAGCCGCTGGGCGCATTATGCGCGACGTTTAAGCAGCATGTGGGCCCTACGGGCAAGCGCCGATGTGGCAGATATCCGACTTGAGCGGAAGATGCGTTATGATTACGCTAAATTGAAGGCCCGAGGGAAATTTAAATCCCAACGAGCGCATTATGCGTCTGCTACCCAGCAGCTCAATGTTTCGGCTACACCTGTAGCCGCGAGTTCACGACAGCCCGAGGCCGCTAACCCGCCTACCCTCGCCATTACTGGTGAGAAGCGTCAGCGCCAACAGGCAGACCCTGCGCACGACGCTCAAAAACGTCCACGGCGCACGGGCAGTCCTGCCGAAGGGGAGTCTCAAACTCCCATGAATTCCATGATTCGGGATAACCCCGCCATTTCACCAGATACTGGTTTTGACCATGGCGGCGACGCTTCTGCAGTAGACGCTCCACATGGAACTGCAGGTTCCCCTGCGCATCGAGCAAAGGAGGAGGAGGTCGGTGTATCGGAACAAGCTCATGCCGAGCTTGTTCAGGAGGTGCGGACCCTTCGTGAGGAGAGGCAGACTATGAACCTTCGGCTTGCATCCCTGGAAGAGAGTCGGACCCGAATGCAGGGTCAGCTTGACTTGTTGGTGCAGATGCTTCGTCCCGCGACAATGCCAATGGGCTCGGCGCGAGCGCCTTAACGTTTACTTGGGACGGATCCCGATAAGGTTTTAGCATGGCGACATAGAACACAGGATGTGTACGCAATTTGCGCGGCAAGTTAAGCGTATACGCTGTGCATTTCTTGGCAATGACCTTAAAGGGTCCGATAAAGCGCGGGCGCAACTTCGTCTTAAAGACAGCGGATACTACATTGGTAGGTAGATTTTTAGCATTAAGTAATACTTGGTCTCCGACCTCATAACAAGTAATACAACCTCTGCCTTTCGCATCTGCATATTCCTTTTGTTTATCTTGACTATCAGCCATTGCATCTTGCACATGTCGTAAGACATTTAGTCGCGTTGCGAGAAACGCATTTACCTGTTTCTTAACAGTATTAGGGCTGACATCAGCAAGCCGATCGGCAACCTCTCCCCCACCAAGCCCTGAACCACTCGGTGGTAGCGTTAACGGAACGCGTGGGTGTGTGAGACCATTGACATAGAACGGAGTGTAGCCGGTGGAGGCGTGCACGGAATTATTGAGAGCAAACTCAACTACAGGGAGCATAGAGCTCCATCGCTTAGGTGTTTCAGCACAAACGCTGCGGAGAATATCTTCAACAACGCGATTTACGCGTTCGGTTTGACCATCGGTCTGTGGATGATCCGCTGTGGACATGTCCAAACGGGTGCCCAGCACCTGGAAGACGGACTTCCAAAATTTACTCGTAAAACGAGGATCACGATCAGAAACAATTGCCACTGGCAAGCCATGTTGGCGAAACACCCGATCGATAAACAGCTCCGCTGTACTCACACCATCGATCGAATCTGGCACAGCCGCTAAGTGAGCCATCTTGCTCAAACGGTCAACAAAGACCACAATACCTGTATTGCCATGCGAATCTCTCGGTAGGCCAAATACAAAGTCCATACTAATGGACTCCCAGCACCCAGTGGGAATAGGCAAACTATCCAGCGACGCTGCCGAATGGGGCGAGGGTTTCACCCGCTGACACATTTCACACGTACGCACATATGTGCTCACCCATTTATATAATTTGGGCCACCAATAACTTTGGCATACTGCCCCATAGGTCTTTTCACGACCCAAATGACCACCGATGGCGGTGTCATGTACCTCATAGAGGATACGATGCTTCAGGTCCTCGTCATGAGGAACTACAATACGCGGAGGATCCGCTACATCTGTACGATAGTACAACAGCCCCTCATCGATAGAATATCGATGGAGGCTTGCACGCAATCGTGCCGACAATTTAATGTCCGAGTCTTTAAACTCCTCACTGCCAATAGCATGTAGCAACGCTATACAGTGATCATCTTTAGCATACGCCGTACGAATGAGATCGATGATATAAGACGACAACATCTTCACATGAGCAAGCTCATAATCAGGTCTGCGTGACAACGCATCAGCCAAAGCATTTTGCTTGCCCGGCTTATATTTCACCTCGAAATTATGTTCGGCAAAGAATGACAGCCATCTGGCCATTCTCAGCGAGAGATGCGGCGACTGAGTCGCAGTGCGTAACGACGCATGATCGGTATAGATCACAAAAGGCTTTGAGCCCAGCAGATGAACTCTGAATTTGACCAGGGCATACTTCATCGCAAGTAGCTCTTTGTCATGAACTGGATAGTTCTTTTCTGCAGCTTTCAGCTGGCGAGATTAAAAAGCGACTACACGCTCACGGCCTTCATCATCTGATTGTAACAGAGCACTGCCAATGGCAAAATCCGATGCGTCACAGACGACGCTAAACGGTCGGTCAGGGTCTGGCAAAGCCAAAATAGTAGCATGAAGAAGGCTTGCCTTCACTGCTTTAAAAGCATCTTCGTGTTCGGCATGCCAACACCATTCCACATCCTTTTTAAGGAGATTGGATAACGGCCGAGCCATATCAGCGTAATTTTCGCTATACTTGTGTAAGTAATTGGCAAGGCCAAGCCATTTACGCAAGTCCTTCTGAGATTGTGGAACAGGCCAATCGACTATGGCTTTGACTTTGGCGGGATCCGCTCGTAGGCCCCGCTTCCCAATGAAGCACCCTAGAAAGGGAATTTCTTCGGCCCCGAAGATGCACTTAGATGCATTAGCATATAATTTATTAGTGCGCATGCACTCGAGCACTGCTCGTAAATGAACAATATGGTTCTCAATATCTGACCGCCCATGTTCAGCTCGGCTATGGACAAAAATGTCATCAAAATACGTCTGTGCATAACTTCGATGGGGTCGAAACAATTGCGTCACCAAACGGTTAAACGTAGCCGGAGCATTAGATAGCCCTTGGGGCATCACTAACCACTCCCAGAGCATACCGCTCGGAGTACTAACAGCAGTAAGCGGAATATCCCTAGCTCGCATGAGCAATTGGTA